CAAAAAGCTTGATAAAGAGAGATTTCTAAACTCCTTATCCAGAAGCAAACTCCTCCTCCTTCCAAAGAGCTATAGTGCAAACACTTGAAGGTTTCCTTGCCTCAAGTACCACACCACGTTGAAGGATACAACTTTTTGATCAAACTTCTTGATTAAAAAGGGGGTAGGTCAACTTTCTTACAAGTTGATCTTGCAAGTCCTATTGTTCGGATCTTGCAGTTGTTGAAGAAGCGTGACCTTCGAAGGAACAACAAAGCCAGCACGAGTGCAGTAGCAACATTGGTCTTGCGAAGATATACTGTGCAGAAATTCACACAAGTGTAATTGTTGGTTCATTATTCAACAACCAACTACATAGTGGATTTTGAGGACGTAGAAGGATTACCCCACCTTCGAACCTCGTTAAAGTTTGCGTGTCTCTCTCTTTTATCTTTACTCTAACTTGCAACTACATTAACTGTGAAAACTAACCCATCCATATTGATTACTGCTCACTCTACCCACCAAATTCCGCACACAATCTAAAGTTCTCAAGAACTCTAGATTAACACTTATTTTCACGTTTTTCAAAAGAAACAAAAAAGATTTTAAATTTGTAACAAAGTCTATTCACCCCCCCCTCTAGACTTTGTATCTCACCACTTTGGGACCACCAATTGGTATCGGAGCAAACTTCTCACTATCTACGTTTAGATTAACGAGAAGCGATCAAAATGGTGAACAATATGGATCACGGTTTGCCCAAGTTTTCTCTTCTAGGTTATGATGATTGGAAGATCATGATGGAAGCACACCTCTACGCTCTACATGATTGCATGTGGATGGTGCTTGAGGATGGACCCTTGAAAATCCAAATGGAGAATCCTGAGAGGAATCCAGCAACTCCAGACGTAGTCCAGTACATTCCAAAGCCCAAGGAAAAATGGGATGATAGAGATTGCAAAAAGCACAATCTGGACAACGTCGCCAAAGCAGCCATCTTCAAGACACTTGATCCCATCACCTTCTCCAAAATCAAGCATCTCAAGACTGCCATGGAGATATGGCAAGGTCTTGGGAAGCTATGTGAGGGATCAGAGGACTTGAGAAAGCAGAAGGTAGAAGTCCTGCTTGAGAAGTTTAAAAGCTTCAAAATGCTTCCCGGAGAATCATTCGATATGTTGGATGAAAGATTCCACAAAATCTTGAATGATCTTGCCTCACTTAACCACGTTCTTTCTCCCAAAGAAAAGAATGTAAGGTTGCTGAGATCTCTTCCAACTGAGTGGTACACCAAAGCCACAGCCATGGAAGAAGGAAGAAACCTGGAAAACTACACTGTCCA